AGAGAATAGAAGGGGAACTCGTCAGATTTGCAGATGACACCAAGCTGGCAGAAGTAGCCAACACCCCCAGAAGACAAACTTAGGATCCAAAAAGATCTTCATCAACTCGACCAACAAAATGAGTTTCAATGTGGGAAAAAGCAAAGTTTTACATTTAGGCAGGAAAAACCAAAGGCACAAATATAGACTGGGCGAGACCCGGCTCAAAAACAGCAACTGTGAGAGCGACCTTGGTGTCCTGGTGGACGATCACTTGACCATGAGTCAACTGTGTGCGGCGGCAGCCCAAAAAGCTAACACAATCCTGGGTTGCATAAGCAGAGACATAGAATCAAGATCACGCGAGGTATTAGTACCGCTTTATAAAACCCCAGTGAGACCACACCTGCAATACTGCAGCCAATTTTGGCCACCATATCACAAAAAAAGATGTTGAGAGTTTGGAAAAAGTTCAGAGAAGAGCAACTAACACGATCAAAGGCCTGGAGACCAAAACATACGAAGAACGGCTGTGGGACTTGGGTTTGGCTGGTCTAAAGAAAAGAAGAAATAGGGGAAACATGATAGCAGTATTTGAGGGGCTGCCACAAGGAAGAGGGATTGTTGTTCTCCAAAGCACCAGAGGGAAGGACGAGAAACAACAGTTGGAAACTGATCAAAGAGAGAAGCAACCTGGAATTAAGGAGAAACTTCCTGACAGTGAGGACAATTAACCAGTGGAACAGCTTGCCACCAGAAATAGTGGGCACTCCATCACTGGAGATTTTTAAGACAGTCACTTGTCTGAGATGGTATTAGGTTCTCCTGCTTGAGCAGGGGGCTGGACTAGAAGACCTCCAAGGTCCCTTCCAGCTCTGTTCTATTCAGAGCCAAAAATTTCTCTTGCGAAGTGAGATATTTGTTAAGGGAGCTTTCCCCCATTTTACAACTCTCTTGCCACAATTATTAAATGAACCACTGCAGTTGTTAAGTTAGTGACCCAGTTGTCAAGTGAACCTGGCTTGCCCATTGACTTCGGACAGCCCTGCCCTAAACCATAATCAAACCATAAACAAACCACCTAGCCTGGTTTCACATAACTGACGAAACCAGAAATGTAACTCCTCAAGCATATCGCAATACAGGAAGTCCCCGACTTAACAACAGTTGATTTAGTGACCGTTCAAATGTATAACGGCACTGACAAAAGTGAATTACGACCGTTTTTCACACTTAACGACCGTTGCAGCATCCCCTGTGGTTACATGATCACAGTTCAGATGCTTGGCAACTGGTTCATACTTACGACGGTTGCCGTGTCCCGGAGTCACCTGATCAGCTTTTGCGACCTTCCGACAAGCAAAATCAGTGGGGGAAGCCAGATTCACTTAACAACGGCCACGACTCACTTAACGACTGTGGCAAGAAAGGTCATAAAGTGGGCCCAAACTCACTCCACAAATGTTTCACTTGGCAGCATAAATGTTGGGCTCAGCTGTGCTCGTATCTCGAGGACTTAGCTGTATATGAATGCAGGCCTTAGATCAGGGGTCTTCAAACGTGGCCCTTTTATGACTGGTGGACTTCAACTCCCAGAATTCCTCAGCCAGGCACGCTGGGTGAGGAATTCTGGGAGTTGAAGTCCACGAGTCATAAAAGGGCCCAGTTTGAAGACCCCTTGGTTTAGGACTACATACCTGTAGTATATTCTTTATGAGGGGAAAAAAGCAGAAATCTTACCCTTGTTCTACATTTAGTGATAATTATGTGTCTTTCAGGCGCAGAGCCACAAGGCAGCCCACAAAAATCTGAACTAGGCCTCTATCTACTCTTTTTTTCCAGAATGTTCTTTCAAGATTTCCTTAAAATACTCATACCTGCCATATATTCTATAGCAGGGGTCTTCAGACTTGGCCCTTTTATGACTGGTGGACTTCAACTCCCAGAATTCCTCAGCCAGCATGGGAGAACTATGGCCCCCTCATGACTTGTGGACTTCAACTCCCAGAATTCCTGAGCCAGCATGGGGGAACTATGGCCCCCTCATGACTCGCGGACTTCAACTCCCAGAATTCCTGAGCCAGCATGGGGGAACTATGGCCCCCTCATGACTCTTGGACTTCAAATCCCAGAATTCCTGAGCCAGCATGGGGGAACTATGGCCCCCTCATGACTGGTGGACTTCAACTCCCAGAATTCCTGAGCCAGCATGGCTCAGCTTGGAAACCTCTCTCTTTCCCCTCAGCGTGCCTGGCTGAGGAATTCTGGGAGTTGAAGTCCACAAGTTCTTTTACAGGCCTGGTTAAGCAATCTTGCCTGAATGCCTCCATTTTGCCGATTCAAAATATGTCACATTCAGTCATGAATATTGCAGGGCGCAAAGAGGCGACTCAGCCCAAAATAGAATCCTGACAACCTTTGAAAGCATTTGCTTTTGTGTTTTTTCCAAAGCGAGCAGCAATCCGATACCTCTTCGGAGCGTGTGACCTTGTAGTTCCACAAAACATCTTTTTTAAAATAAAAAAAATAAAAAAATAGATCTCTCTCAATTTGGGGTGAGCTCTTTGCCAGTGAAAAAAATGGCTGTTGTGCAAATGAGAAGAGTCCCGCGCAGTCTGGATTGTGAGGAAAGAGCAAAATTGTGTGGTCTTTCCAGAGAGATCCTTGCGACATTCCTGAATTCAGCTTTCTCCCCCTCTCCTCCCCCCACTTCAAAATCCAGAACAGTGCTACATATTATGTAGACTTTCTGCTTCTGCACCAGAGACAAATTCCTTGTGTGTCCGATCACACTTGGCCATTAAAGAATTCTGTTCTGTTCAGTGTCACGTTGGTCACGTGACCAGTTTTATGATTTTTTAATGAAATAGTAGTAGTAGTAGTAGTAGTAGTAGTAGTAGTAGTAGTAGTAGTAATAATAATAATAATAATAATAATAATAATAATAATAATGATGATGATGATGATGATGATGATAATAATAAAGTTGGAATGTACCTTGGAGGTCATCCAGTCCAGCCCCCTGCTCAGGCAGGAAACTCTATACCCTTTCAGACAAATGGCTGTCCAGTCTCTTCTTCAAAACTTCCAGTATTGGAGCATTCACCGCTTCTGGAGGCAGGTAGTTCCACTGGTTAATTGTTCTAACTGTCAGGAAGTTTCTCCTTAGTTCTAGGTTGCTTCTCTCCTTGACAACTATAATGGGCAGGTTCCATTACAGGTTGTCCTCAACTTAACGACCACGACAGAGCCTCAAACTCGTTGGGCAAAAGACGGTGAAGTCAGTTTTGCCCTGTTTTACGACCTCCTTGACCACTGTTATTAAGTGAATCACTGCCATTGTTAAATTGAGACAGGCGGTTGTTAAGCGAAACTAGCTTCCCCATTGACTTTTGCTTGACAGAAGGTCTCCTGAAAGGGGATCACATCACACACACACATACACACACACACACACACACAGAGAGAGAGAGAGAGAGAGAGAGAGAGAGAGAGATACTGCAACCGTCCTAAGTACATGCCAGTTGCCAAGCATCTGAATTTTGATCACGTGACCCTGGGCCACGCTGCAGTGATCATAAGTGGAGAAAAACGGTCATAAGTCACTTTTTTCATTCTTTTTTTAATAAGATTTTATTAATTTTTCTTTACATACAATAATAATTTTTCAACCAACGTGCTGTCTGAGTTTGACCATGCTAATACATATTTAATTCCTAATCCTTTATTCTTTCCTCTCACCATTGGTAAATTAAGTCCCATGTTTGATAATATTCTGTTTCTTCTTTTTCTTTCAGTCTCATAGTTAGTCTGTCCATCTCTGCGCATTCCAATATTTTTTTTAATTATTTCTTCCTCTGGTGGTATTCCTTCATTTTTCCAACCTTGCGCAAATATTATTCTTGCCGCTGTCGTGACATGTAAAATCAAATATAGGCTTTGTTTGTTAATCTTTTCTGGCCTTATACCTAGTAAAAAAAAAAGTTCAGGTTTAAAGTCTACACATTCTCCCAACATCTTTTCTAACCAAGTATGTCTCTTTTCCCAATATTTCTTTGCTTTGTCACATGTCCACCAAACATGAGAATACGCACCTGACTTATGTTTACATTTCCAACGTCTACCTGACATATTTTTAAACATCCTTGCTAATCTTGCTGGTGGCAAGTGCCGTCTATAAAACATTGTATATACATTTTCTTTATAAGAAGTTGACATTGTCAATTTATAATTTCTTTCCCACTTTTTTTCATTCTTGTCGTAACTTCGGACAGTCCCTAAATGAGCTGTTGTAAGTCGAGGACTCTCCGAAGATGATTCCACCTGCTGGGACGGACGGTCAGAGGTGGCCGATGGTGTCATTTCTTAACGTGCGATGCCCTTCCTCTTTTTTCAGATTGCCCTGGCTAGTTTCTACGAAGATGGTGGCGACGAAGACATCATGACGCTCCCCCAGCCCACCTCCAGTTCCGTGACGAGAGGCACCGCAGCCAGGTGACCTGTCAGCTTTCTGCCTTTGTGAAAAATCGGGGTTAGGTCCAAGGTGCCAGGCCTCTCTTCTCTGCTGGAAAAAACTTTGGATTTGGGCCTCGGAGAGCAGAGCCGAGTCTGCCAGGGGATCCCTAGAATTCAAAGAAATAGAAATTCCCAATCCCAGGGCATTCTGGGAAAAGGATGCTCAGAGAGCGAAGGTTAATTTGGATCTGGAACACAATTGGCAGTTCCATTTTTCGTTAGTATTGTTTTTTTTATTAGTTTATAGCAGTGATGGCGAACCTTTTAGAGACCGAGTGCCCAAACTGCAACCCAAAACCCACTTATGCATCGCCGGGTGGGTATGGCCCATTGGGTGAATGGCTGCGGTGGTAACGGCAGACTGGGTGGGACTAAAAAGTTCAATCAATCCCAACTTTGCAAGATTTTTTTTTTGCCCGCGAGAAGTTGAAATTGATTGATTGATTGAACCTTTTTTTTTTGTACACGGCGGCAGAGGCCTAAAGCGAAAAGGTTTTATAAAACCCAGCTGAAGGCCTAGGATTGGGGCGACAGTGCGCGTGCCCACAGAGAGGGCTCTGAGTGCTGCCTCTGGCACCCGTGCCATAGGTTCGCCACCACTGGTTTATAGTATACGATACAAAGAAAATACAAAAGTAAATAGCAGGAGAGCTAGGAAAGGGAATATAGAAAAGTGGGAGAAAGCAAGGGGAAAAAAGAAAAAAAAAAGATCATTGACTTCCTACTTTCTTTGCTGCAGTAAAATAGAATATCAACATCAAACCTCAACTTTTTACTTTTACAAAAGAATATAAACTAGCCATTTCGATAACCACAAATCTATATCATCAGGAAAGCCCAAAATCAAAATTTCCTTTGTTTCCCACCTCAAGCACAAAGTCCAGAAGCGGTTTCCACGTAGCAATAAAAGTAGTCGCATTGTTTTCTTTAATCCGTACAGTCAATTTAGCCGTCTCGGCTAGCTCCATCAGTTTTTTGCAACCCTTCCTCCATTGAGGGAATTGATGTGGTCTTCCATTTCTGAGCGTAGAGTAATCTTGCTGCTGTCAATGTCAACGCTGCAAATACTGTATATTCTTGCTTTGACAATATGCAGAACTGTCTGGTATTTTTATAGTTAAATCAGGCAACAGTGAAAGGGGAGGAGAATAAGGAAAGCCCGGGAAAAAGGAACCGGAAGTGAATCACATCTTCCAAGTTAATTGGATATATAACTGTGGTGGCGAACCTATGGCACGTGTGCCACAGGTGGCACTCAGAGCCCTCTCTGTGGGCACGCGCGCCCTGTTGCCCCAGTCCTAGGCCTTCAGCTGGGTTTTATAAAACCTTTTCGCTTTAGGCCTCCACCGCCTCCGTGTGCAAAAAGAAAAAAAAAGGTTCAATCAATCAATTTCAACTTGCGGGGAAAAAAAAGATCTCGCAAAGTTGGAATTGATTGATTGAATGTTTTAGTCCCACCCAGTCTGCCGTTACCACCGTAGCCACGCCCACCCAATGGGCCACACCCACCCGGCACCCGACGATACATAAGTGGGTTTTGGGTTGCAGTTTGGGCACTCGGTCTCTAAAAGGTTCGCCATCACTGATATATAACATCAAAGTTCCGTATTTTTTTTTTCCAGGTCTTGGCCCATTAGCCCCAAAAGACACCCCCCCCCCCAAAAAAAAACTGGTTTTCTTTCTATAGTCACTTTTAAGAATTTTCTGTATTAACATAACGAATCTTGCTCCAGGCGGTTCCATTTTTCACATGACGCCGTCCCAAACCTTTTCGGTTGCTGTTGCAAGTCCACTTCCTGGGTTAACAACCACACTTTAGTTGTGCTGGGACCTTTTGCCTTTTCATCCTGGTCAGGCCATTACAAGGCCTTGGTAAGGCCACACTTGGAAATACTGCATCCAGTTTTGGTCACCACGATGTGAAAAAGATGTTGAGACTCTAGAAAGAGTGCAGAGAAGAGCAACAAAGATGTTTAGGGGACTGGAGGCTAAAACATACAAGGAACGGTTGCTGGAATTGGGTATGTCTAGTTTAATGAAGAGAAGGATGAGGGGGGACATTGTAGCTGTCTTCCAATATCTGAGGGGCTGCCCCAAAGAAGAGGCAGTCAAGCTATTCTCCAAAGCCCCTGAAGGCAGGAGAAGAAGCAACGGATGGAAACTAACCAAAGAGAGAAGCAACCTAGAACTAAGGAGAAACTTCCTGACAGTTACAACAATTAACCAGTGGAACCACCTGCCTCCAGAAGCGGTGAATGCTCCAACACTGGAAGTCTTTAAGAAGAGACTGGACAGCCATTTGTCCGAAATGGTATAGGGTTTCCTGTCTGAGCAGGGGGTTGGACTAGATGACCTCCAAGGTCCCTTCCAACTTTATTATTATATAGGTTTAGTAAATTATTCTTCTTCCTCTTCTTCTTCTTCCTCTTCTTCTTCTTCCTCTTCTTCTTCTTCTTCTTCTTCTTCTTCTTCTTCTTCTTCTTCTTCTTCTTCTTCTTCTTCTTCTTCTTCTTCTTCTTCTTCTTCTTCTTCTTCTTCTTCTTCTTCTTCTTCTTCTTCTTCTTCTTCCTCTTCCNTTTCTCCAGCGACCACAGGGTGACCTCCTTCCGTGATCTCGTCCATGCTCAGGAAGAGGAGGAGGAGGAGGAAGAAGGACAAAGGTTGGTGACTGGTCAGATGGGAAGGAGGAATTGGGAAAGTCTGTGTGGGTTATAAGTCCAGCGCTCCGCGTAAAAGCGATCCATGCTGACTGGATAAGGACAGTCAGGATGTAGTCCAGGGGCCGTAACATGGCTGTCGGCAGCCACCGTATGCTTGCTTGTGTGCTTCGCTATCATGTGGTGACAGTCTGCCATGAACTCTGGAGAGGAGGGGGAGAAATGCTTGAGGGAAAGTGGAAGTAACGACTGTGTCTCCCAGAGATGCTGCCTCAAGGTCACTCAGCTGGGAGAAGAAGGCAGCTGCATGTTGTTGTTAGTTGCGAAGTCGTGTCCGACCCATCGCGACCCCGTGGACCACGTTCATCCAGGCCTTCCTGTCCTCTGCCATCTTCTGGAGTCCATTTAAGCTCACACCTATTGCTTCAGTGACTCCATCCAGCCACCTCCTTCTCTGTCGTCCCCTTCTTCTCTTGCCCTCCATCTTTCCCAGCATCAGGCTCTTCTCCAGGGAGTCCTTCCTTCTCATTAGGTGGCCAAAGTACTTGAGTTTCAGCTTCAGGATCTGGCCTTCTAAAGAGCAGTCGGGGTTGATCTCCTCTAGGACTGACCGGTTGGATCGCCTTGCAGCCCAGGGGACTCGCAGGAGTCTTCTCCAGCACCAGAGTTCAAAGGCCTCCATTCTTTGGCGCTCAGCCTTTCTTATGGTCCAACTTTCACAGCCATACATGGCAACTGGGGAAACCATGGCCTTGACTCTACGCACTTTTGTTGGCAGGGTGATGTCTCTGCTTTTTAGTATGCTGTCTAGATTTGCCATAGCTTTCCTCCCTAGGACCAAGCGTCTTTTAATTTCTTGGCTGCCGTCCCCATCTGCATACCAACCTGCAAGCTTGAAGTGTCGGTCCTTAAAACATCTTGCTTGAATCTGATTGGTCATGGCGTGTGTGTGTGTGTGTGTGTGTGTGTGTGTGTGTGTGTGTGTGTGTGAGAGAGAGAGAGAGAGAGAGAGAGAGAGAGAGAGAGAGAGGGACGGGAAAAATGGAACTTAGGGATTTTGGCACAAGATCCATCTCCAGCCTCTCACTGATGACTCATCACAAGACCCTCACTTGCAAAAGAGGATCACATGACTCCATGAGATTGCAACTGTCATAAGTACATGCCAGTTGCCAAGCATCTGAGTTTTGATTTGATTTCTGCAGCCGCAAACGATGCAGACGACTATTCAAATTTTAAAAAACATTTTTAAACAGCCAAGAAGCCTTAATGCAGCTGCTGCATCAGCAGTTCGGTTTGCAATGGCAGACAATCACGCCGCGCTTCCCAAGTCGAACGAGGACTTTCCCCTCCGGGGGATCCTCAAGTCTCTTTCTCTTCGGTTTAGGTTTTATGCTGGTGGGTCCGAACGGAGCGGGCAGCAGATTGTTGGCCCCCCAAGGAAGAAGAGTTCAAACGAGCTGGTGGAGGACCTGTTCCGGGGGGCCAAAGAACACGGGGCGGTGGCTGTCGACAGGACAGCTAAGAGTCCCGGGGAAGGCAGCAGGCCAAAGGTGAGCCAGAGAGCCTTGGTCAAGCTCTGCGTGGGTGGGTGGGCTTATCTGCTTTCAAGTGGCCTTAAAGATTTCCTCAATCAAATGTGGCACAGAGGGAGGGGATGTTTGGGGTCCTGGGTGCTCTCTGAGCTGGGTGGCTTTCTTGCAGATGTTTCATGACCCAACTAGGTAACATCATCAGTTAGATGATGCTAGAAGGGGGAGGAGGAGGAGGAGGAGAACTGTGGGGTCCTGGGTGCTCTCTGAGCTTGGTGGCTTTCTTGCAGATGTTTCATAACCCAACTAGGGAACATCATCAGTGCTAGAAGGGAGGAGGAGGAGGAGAACGGTGGGGTCCTTGGTGCTCTCTGAGCTTGGTGGTTTTCTGGCAGACATTTCATTGCCCAATGAAGTAATGTCATCAGTGCTAGAAGGGAAGGGGGGGTTCTCTATATACGGTGGTAGGGCTGTGGTTCCCCCCCCCCGGATAATTCCTTGATTCGGTTATTGTTTTCTGCTTGTTTGTTCGTCTGGTGTTAATGCACGCTTGTCTGCATTTCTCTTTCTGTGGAAGCCTTGATGTTCTCTGAGCTTGGTTGTTTCCTGGCAGACATTCTGTGACCCAGCTAGGTAACGCCATCCGTGGTAGAAGGGAGTGGGGTTTGCAGAATGGAGGAGAAAGAGAAGGGAAGGAGGGAAGAGGAGGAAGGCTGTGGTATGCTTGGGGTCTCTCTGAGATGGGTTGCTTTTTTGGAAATGTTTTATTATCCAACTAGGCAACACCATCAGTGCTAGAAGGGGGTGGGTTTGTGGAGGAGGAGGAGGAGGACCGTGGTGTTTTGAACTTGGTTGTTTTCTTGCCCATTTTATACCCAACAAATGGACTTCAGCTCACAGAATTCCCTAGCCGGCATGGCTATCTGGGGAATTCTGGGAGTTGAAATCTATAAAAATCTTTAAAAAGTCGCCAAGTTTGAAGACCCCTGAGTTAGAGGAATAGGAAGTGTTGGTGATTGTGTATTTCATCTATAATCTGTCTCCTGTGAATGTTGTTAGGATTAAAAAAACAAAAACAAATCAAGGTATTTCTAAGAAAAGTTTACCAAATTCCTGGTATTTTGGAATTCGTGTTACTTAATCCTTAATTTGGAGGCCGGGAGATCTGAAAGAACATTGCTTAGCCCAGGGGTAGGCAACCTTGGCTTTTTTATGACTCGTGGACTTCAACTCCCAGAATTCCTCAGTCAGCATGGCTCAGCTTGGAAACCTCTCCCTTTCCACTCAGCATGGCTGGCTCAGGAATTCTGGGAGTTGAAATCCACCAGTCATAAATGAGCCAAGGTTGCCTACCCCTACCCAAATGCCTGAATTTTGATCACGTAACCGTGAGGAAAAAATATTTAAACCAGGGGTCTTCAAACTTGGCCCTTTTATGACTCGTGGACTTCAACTCCCAGAATTCCTGAGCCAGCATGAGGGAACTATGGTCCCCTCATGACTCGTGGACTTCAACTCCCAGAATTCCTGATCCAGCATGGGGGGAACTATGGCCCGCTCATGACTCGTGGACTTCAACTCCCAGAATTCCTGAGCCAGCATGGCTCAGCTTGGAAACTCTCCCTTTCCCCTCAGCATGGCTGGCTCAGGAATTCTGGGAGTTGAAGTCCACCAGTCATAAAAGAGCCAAGGTTGCCTACCCCTGCCCAAATGCCTGAATTTTGATCACGTAACCGTGAGGAAAAAATATTTAAATATTTAAACCAGGGGTCTTCAAACTTGGCCCTTTTATGACTCATGGACTTCAATTTCCAGAATTCCTGAGCCAACATGGGGGAACTATGGCCCCTTCATGATTTGTGGACTTCAACTAACAGAATTACTAAGCCAGCATGGGGGAACTATGGCCCCCTCATGACTGGTGGACTTCAACGCCCAGAATTCCTGAGCCAACATGGGGGAACTCTCCCTTTTCCCCTCAGCATGGCTGGCTCAGGAATTCTGGGAGTTGGAGTCCATGAGTCATAAAGGAGCTGAGGTGGTCTACCCCTGGCTTAGCCCTATGTTAAAAAAAAAACAAAACCCTTTCTGATGGATGGAGGAACTTTAAATGAAGGCTGGTAATAGCCTTCGTGCAGAAGAACTGGGCAAGCCCCCCATCTTTTCTCTCTCTTTTTTTCTCCCTTGCAGCCCTTCGCAGGAGGAGGGTACCGCTTGGGAGCTGCCCCTGAGGAAGAGTCCGCTTACGTGGCGGGAGAAATGAGGCCAAACGCTGCCCAGGATGTGAGTCTTTCAGGCCTCGGACTGGGTCTGGGGCAGCCGCGCGTTAGAGGTCTGAGGGTCCCAAACTTTATCAAATCAAATCTTTATCCGGGTCCAAGACCAACAGAGTTCCCAAACTTAGAATTTTGTGGAATTTTTGAGTCCTTCAAGATAAGGTGGGGTTAGGAAGCGGCCAGTCACTGTTCAGGCCTGGGGAAATGTTTTGGATTGTGGAAAATTAGGAAAGCCTGGATCGGTACAAGAAGGCTGCAGATGTTCAGCTGGACCTTCCTTCCTTCCTTCCTTCCTTCCTTCCTTCCTTCCTTCCTTCCTTCCTTCCTTCCTTCCTTCCTTCC